TCTGGCTCGTGGATGAAAGTGCGTATTCAATTTAAACAGAACTAAAAAAAGCCACGCTTCGTGTACTTTTGAGCCTCTGCGTGCGTCTGCTTGAGTGGATGGATGGGCGGGCTTGATAGGGCACCACTTGCCAGACAGATAGGCCAATCAGAAGGCAGCTCTCGGGTGAAAAACTCACCAGCACACGTCAACGGTCCGAGTTTGTAAATGATCATGCATACAATGGACTTCGGACTGGGTGCAATGACGAAGTTGCGAAAACAACGACAAACAACTTCACAAGCACACGTTTACAAGACTTGATAGACTCGTTCGGACTCAACTGGATTGGAGATGACGAAACTACGTATTGTCTCGACTTTCTATCTCGTCTGGCCTTGTTCACATTATGCTGAGGCGGGCGCTGGCTATCTAATCATGTGATGTTTATCAATTTGGTTCAAGGTGCAAGTAAGCTCAATAAGGAGATGATTCCAATGGCAGAGGTTTGCCGAATCGATAAGATGATTAGCTGAATGGAAGGCTTTTATTGATTTGGACTGAATGCTTTTGACGCAATTTAACGTCGTCAATGTGACTTAACTCTTTAGATCGAGGGAAAAGTTGATTTAAAGGTATTCGTGAATTAACCTCATGTATCCACTATTTGCGTGGAAAACTTCACGAAACTCATGGTCACAGTAACTCATCACGGGGTTCTTCGCAAAATGGCTTTCCTTCGTATGGACGTCGTCCATCCAAGCGTCCTGTCATATTTCCTGATTACGGCTGAACGTACCAGACTGGTTTCCAATCTAGCCAATGTTGTCTAAGGAGTCGAAATAGGATTAAAACCGCCAAAGTATTTATTCGGAAAGAACCATTACGTGTTGTCAAAAGCAGCCAATTTTTTTGGGTGGGACAATTGACCATATCTAGTTGTATTTTTATAAAGTAGGTTTTGAAGCAATCATTAAGTCTTGAATAACTTCCAGGCAACCTTGGGTTACTGGAACTATTACTCAAAAGTTATTGATGTTATTATGCAACATAGTTACATTAGAATAAATAACGTAGTCGAGTATAAGGGCAAAATGCGTGTTTGTCTCATCGACGGTCTAACTGTAAAGTGTAATATGGGAGCGACCCGGCCTTGTTTGAAATTCACGTCAATTGGGTTGCCCGGGCAAACTGGTGGCGATGTGGCGTTGATTGTAGCGTGTCGAGATTACACGCTGCCTTACTTGGGTTCGATTCCCAGTGGGAGTGCTGATAAGACGTAAGCGAAGTCAAAACTGCACTCGAGTCCGGCCTGAATGAGAACGTCGTTTTGGAAACAAGGCTAAGTGAAATCCAATGGAATTGTAATGCCTACAGATAGCATTATGGAAAAATTCAACTAGCAGCCCAACTTCATCACATGCAAACTAGGGTGACTTGAACTCTCATCCAGGATTTACTGATAGTTTCAAACCCAACTTTATGTGCTTATTCTATACTCTCTCTACATGTTTTCCATTAAGTGAAATGGTTGTAGATGCGGTCGAACAGTCTAAACCAAGTGTTGTTTTGATCCTGCGCCGTGGATGTGTATAGATACTTTCTATTGGGGCAAGATCGTCGACTGAACCACTTAACAAGGTTCGTGTTGATACCATCCTTATAGCCCTCGAAGAGGCAGGTGAATTAATGAGACGGTCGTACATATGAAAGTATCTAAGGAGACAATAACACTTTCCCCGTTATTCTCAACATTTGGGAATGTTTGGACACTTTCTCCTAATCTGGCTGTTACACTATTTTTCGGATTACATGGCCATGCGAGATTCGGCGTAAACTTGAGACCTTTGTGTGGGAATTTTACTAGCACTCTTGCATCCCCATCACGATTTAGAGAGGCTGGAACCCTTATCGTATCTATTTGTACTTGCGTACTCCCTATTCTATTAGAAATATCGGATGTGAGTGATTTACAAATTGTTGATACAAAGAGAAAGTTGGTTTTGATGAATCTCCTGAGATAACATTGTTAGGGATAGCTTCATTTCAAATGAAAGTGCACAAGGAAGAGATTCTTTGGTCGATCTCACCAGATGAGGACGGATGAAACTTGTTGTACTGCAGCCGTTTGGCTTTTATACGATATATATACGAAGAAAAGTTGGGTTTCGAGGAATCTCTTGTTTCATAATTGTTGGGATTACTTCAATTTCAAGTAGAAGTGTAGGTAACAAGAGTAGATTTTAGTAAAAAATATCCTTGCAGAGGTCACCAACATCTCGAAGAAATAGCCATAAGAGAACAAGCGGGAGATGAAAATTAAATAAATCCTGACAATCCTAGCCCATTAAGAGCCAATAAAAAGGAGTAGATTAATGAAGATACAAAAAAGTTAAAAACGAAAGACCAACTAGTTCTTCATGAGGATAAGGGAGGTGTGAGGCAGGTAATTAACTGGCAACAATACACGGATAGAAGTTAAAGTGTGCGAAGAAAAGATGGGTTTAGAGGAATCACTTGTTTCATAATTGTTGAGGTTACTTCCATTTCGAGTGAGTGTTGGGTGAAGAGATCCGAAGGTCGGTTCCACCAGAAGACGACGGTAGATTCCTCTTAATCAGCTGTCGATTGGCTTTACTGAAAGATTCATGCTGACGCTGTTTCCAAGGTAATCTCCTTCTATTTTGGTTAAAATGTGCTAAGCTTTCGTCCGTCATATGACGGACATCATCC